AGAATGTAGAAGAAATAGATATAAGGTTAAAAGAGATAAAGGAGGCAATGGAGAAAAGGAAAAAGATATAAAAGAAGGAGATGGGTGTGATGAAATGAGTCAATAAAGTAATGGGTAATAAAAATTTTTGTAATATAGAAAATAAAAAAGAGAAAGAAATAGGGGAGATAATTAGGAAAGAGACGAATGAATTTGAAAAGGAATATAAATAGTAGGAGGGGGATTTTAATATAAGGATAGGGGAACTGAGAGGAAAAGAAGAAGAAAAGAATGGGAAGAGATAAGGAAGAGTAAAGATAAAACAATAGGTAATGGGGGTAAAAGATTAGTTAACTTAGTGGAAAAAATAGGTTTAGAAATAGATTTAGATGTATTTAAATGGAAAATAAAGGTGATTGTGGAAAGGAGAATACATTTATATAGATGTAAGAGGAAGTACGGAGATAGATTATAATTTTGTAAATAAAAAATAAGAGACAGAGTAATAGAGTATAAAATTGAATATAGGATGGACTAGGATTATTTGCCAATCAGTATGAAGCTGGAAGCAGAGGAAAAAAAAGAGAAAAAGAGGCAAGATGGAAAAAGGAAAAAAAGAAAAGAAGGCGAAAAGGAGGCACAAGAAGATAGTATGATGGTATGCGGAGATAGGGATGTAAGAAAATATATAAAGAAAGAACAGAGGAAATAGGATGGAGGAAAGAGGAAGAGAAAGAAACATGGATGGTGGGAAGAGGACATGGGAAAATCTCAAAGATTTAATGAAGAAGGCATTAGTATACATAAAAGTAAAGAAATAGGAAAATATGATAGGATACAAGGATTGGGAGAGAGAAGTAGTATGAAAAGGAAAAGAGAAGCCAAAAGGAAATATAATAAATAAAAGAATGGGAAAGAATAAGGGAAGATTTCCTAGAGAAAAGGAAAAAGCTGAGAGAGTTCTTAGAACTGAAAAAAAGAAAAAAGGAAGATGAGGAAAAGAGCTATAAATAGGAAAAGAAGGAAGAAAGAGTAAAAGAAAACAATATAAAAAAAGAAGATAGGAGAAGACACCTCAGGGATCTACTAGAAGGTACAGAAATAATTATAAAGAATACAGAAGACATAAGAAACGAAGACATAGGAATAGAAAAAGGGAAGATCAAGAGGCAAGATGCGAGATGGACTTAGGAGAAAAAAAAATAGTAAAATAAAGTAATATATAGGATTAGATATAAGGTATGGATGAATGAAGATAAATTTTAATTGTAAACCAAGTCCCTTCATGGCAATAGCTAAAGTAATAAAGATTATATATCCCGGTGATGATAACTGATTGCTCAAATCCATAATACTAGCAAGATGAACTTATCTAAAGTAAAACAAATAATGTAAGATTGCATGTATATAATGATTTATGTATATGAATACGCGCAATACCGGGCAAATAAAGTCTTACTTGGGCTGACTACAGCTTTAACACGTCTCAAAAGTGAGTAGCTATTTTATTGCCTGTTAGTTTTGCGGTTACTTATATAAAATACTGCTCAAGTGAGTATCTGTTAGTAGTTTTTCAGTGAAAACCATCACATCATCCAAATTACAGTTATGATTAAAACTCGAAAATACTGATATGGAATTATATTTTTCGAATTCATGATTATAGCTTTTATTATTTAATGATATTTTTTCTTGTAGCACTGAAAATGACGATAAATTCTATAAACTTCATCAACCTTTTATTAATGACTTTTTAATCGTTAAAAATAAAAGAAAGTATAAAAGTATAAAAGTGGATACATTGAAGAACAACCAGAAGCATTCAAAAATTCTGTTAATTTCAGTTTCAGAGATTCTTCTAATATGCATTGCGAAATTGAAGGCTACACAAAAGTTGTTATTATTCGATGTTTATGGTTCAAAAAATCTTTGTGTCTCAAACACTTTTTCTATAGCTATCATTATTGTTTAAGCTTTGAAAACTAATTCACATATAAATTATTGTATTACATAATGATGTAAGTATTTATGAAAATATATAATGTGACAATTTATAAATTGGTGATATTTTAAATCTGCTATGATGACATTTTGATCCTGCAATATGCCCGAATATAACATTGTTTTCTTGGAATTTTTCGTACATCAACAGTTATATATTTTAATATTGCTTGCTATGGAGTGCATTTTCATATACTTGTATACATTTATTTTTGGATAATCGTAGTCATATTTAGGGGTGGTTTACCCTATAACATTGAATGGTCGAATGGAGCGAGATGTAAATTTTGTATTTATCTGTAATAAATCATCATTTTTAGTGAGTTTTGTTCGCGAAAATTTAATTACATCTTTTCATATAAACGATATAAAATGTTTAAGCGTAGCAACCCCTCAAAATTTAATTTTTCGAAGAAATGTAAAAACACTTAAACTTAGTTTTGTACTAATGTGTAACATATATTTCTTTCTAGATTTTTTTGTTTGAATTTAGCCGTGTTGGGCAGGTTTCCTGAAATTCATGGGGGTGGTTTACTCCTTAAAAATGGATTAATCGAATCGAACAAATTGTGTTCTCCATCTGTTCTCGTGATTTTCCAATCATACATTTTCCAATCGAACTCATTCAAAAAGATTCTTCTATATAAAACAACCAAATCGGCATTTGACACCTCCTATTTTGAGGGGTTGTTTCATCCTCTAAAAATGTTTTTCCGCCGATAAAAAAAATACGTCTCGCTTATATTTTAGTCAACTACAACATATTGCAAAATTTTTAAAATCGACGGGGAACACCTCCAATAATTTTCTTGTTAGTGGGTAAGGCGTAGTATTTTGAATATTGCTGGTTCAAAATTTTTACTAAAAAAATTTTTTTTTAGTATTTAAGTGAATTGTGACATGTACTACGCATCAAAATTAAGAGATAGAAAATTTCAGGTCGATTTTGGGGTGTTTTCTGAGCGGCTGTATCTCCACGAAAAATGGACGAAAAAAATCTTTAAAAAAAGAGTTTTTAAGCTTAAATCTTCTAATAATAATAGAAAGGAGCGTAAAGAGCCACAATGTAAGTTATTCGTGCGAAGATTACAGTGTATTAGTTTTTACCATTATTACATTTACATTAAACAAACGTTTCTGCCTGCCATCAGGCCTTCTTCAGTGTATTATACAAAACAAAAAAATCGCAACACATTGCTTTAATAAACAGTATAATAAAGAGAAAATTTTTCCAATCCATTTTTTAAAAAAAATGTTGTTCAAAATCTAACGACGTTAGGACTGTAATCAATATAATAAAACAAATGAAAATTCGTGTTATAAAAAGTGCGCTGACCGGAGATAGAAATAATTTTTACATACTTGCAATGAAACACATGTAGAACGTGAGCTCATCCACGCAGAAGGAGCAAAGTGGAAGAAAAATGTTAGATTTGTACTATGATGGTTGAGATCTTAATGATCATAACTGAGTAAAGAAAATTCGAGTGATGATGGAAAAGAGAGGGGGTGAGGGGGGACGGAAGAACAAGGAGTATGGAAGGGAAAGTATGGTGAAATGGAGGGGATGAAGGAATTAGTATAGGAAAGAGAAAGCAATACATTTATAAAAGAGGAAATAGATTAATAATGGGGAGATAAGCATCTGGTAACCGTTTGGTGTCATTTTGATTGTTTAGACCTGCATTTTATCTTTTTATAAAAACCATTTCAGATATCATTCTTTTTCCATAAAACCACGATGTTTCTGGATGAAGGTCACTCACAAACGATTATCGCCAACAGGATGGGAGTTAGCCAGTCTGTCGTCAGCAGAGCTATAGTTCGCTTTCGGCAGATTGGCAAACTGCATCGTCGTAGCGGGCAAAGGCCAAAGACGCCAAACGTTTGTCCGAGAAAACAGATCAATTGTACGGCACGCGCGCCTAGAACCGTTCGTGACGGTGAACGCAATTGCGCGTCGAATTAATCCCGCTCGAAACAACGATGTTTCCATCTCCACAATAAAACGCAGATTGCGCGAGGACGCCTTGCGTTCGTACCGAGCTCATCACGTATCCATGTTCACGCCCTTTCATCGACGAGCTCGATACGAGTATGTACGTAAACATGTCCATTGGGGCTACAGACAGTGGAGCAGCGTGCTGTTTACTGACGAGTCCCGTTTTATGCTGTATGGAAATGATAGTCGCCCCCGCGTTTGGCGTTACCACGGCGAACGCTACACCCAAAATCGTTGCAAGCCTGTGGCTGCATTTAATGGAGACTTGGTAATGGTTTGGGCCGGTATTTCGCACGCCGCTGATGGTTGTCCCACCACTGGGACTTTCGGCAAGGCGATACGTCGATGAAATTCTCGTCCTAGACGTTTTACCAGCCCGCCGCCGAATGAGCCGTAGATTTATCCTGATGTAGGATAACGCCCGATGCCATACCACACGCCACACCCGGGATTTTTTAAGGCACTACCGTGTGGCTACCTTGAATCATCCAGCGAGAAGCCCCGACTTAAATCCCATCGAGCACGTATAAGACATGCTCGGGCGGGGTTTGCGACGGGATTATCCAAGGCTAGCCAACTTGGGGGAGTTGGCATGAGCACTTCGCCAAGTTTGGCAGCGGATACCGCAAGCAGCGATACGGCGCTGCATAAACATGCATGAACGCCTAACGGCAGTACTACAAAGCAGAGGCGGCAATATCCGCTATTAGGCGGCCTCTTTCTCTTTCTCTCTCTCTCTTTCTCT